GCAACGTTAGTGGAATTCACATATATAAACACACGTACGGATGGGAGAGACTTGTGAAGAACGCCGTTCAGTAGGTGCCGTGATATACATACCAAGTTTCTTAAAAATTGGTTCAGGCATTTAGAAGTTTATGTAGTTGGTTGAGGCACTGTGCTACAAGCCGGAAGGTCGCGGGTTCAAATCCCAATGAGGTCATTAGATTTTTTTTTCAATTGACCTAATCCTTCCAGCCGCACTATGGCCCTGGGGTTTACTCAGCCTCTAACAGAAATGAGTACCAGGAATTAATTAAATAATTTTCCTGGGGAGTAAAGCGCTGCCGGCGCGTAAGGCTGACAACCTTACCGCCATCTGTGAGCCGATTGTCTAGATAATGTGGGACCCTCAACGTCTCACAACCTATGGGCCTTCACGGCCTGGTACAGGGATAGCTTTACTTTTTACTTTACTTTTTAGGGGGTATACACAGACACAGAAACAGCATAGCGATCGCATAAGCCTACTTTCCTTTTCCAAAATAAGGAAAGTAGGCTAAAAATAGACTCTTGAACCTACTGTATGCTGTACCGAAATCTTTTGTCTTGGATCCTATGACGTAGGCGCAAAACTGTAGGAAATGTTTGCTTGGATTGTTCCAGAAAATCGTGTGAAGTAAAGAAACTGCTTTGAAATCAGATTTGTTCTGATGTTTTAGTGTCCTGCACTATTACTGCCGAGCGACTGGCAGCTTCTCAAGAAGGACTCAGTTCCACGAAATTAGTTAGTGTCCTGCACTATTACTGCCGAGTGACTGGCAGCTTCTCAAGAATGACTCAGTTTCACGAAATTAGTTAGTTAGTGCTCTATTACAATAAGATTTTGAACTACACTTTCCTGTCAAACAATTTGTATATAGGCTTAAAATCTTCATGAATGTAGTTTTCCCTTCACGTCAATTTGAATGCCGCCTCGCAAGGAACAAGTCTATTCATTGTGAGGGATGGGTTCATTGCAGAACGTCACTTCCCTGGCCACGGTGCCTAAATGCCAGACAAAGGCCTAATTCCTTGCGCCGAGTGCGCTCGTCAACTGCGTGTTCTAGAGGCATTTTTCGAAAACTTACTGTCGTCTGGGAATGGATGCGTGCAGTCTAGTAGTTCGCCGATGCTTCGGAAGCAAATACTGTCTCCATCTTCAGGAACGAAGAATAAGACAAGTGAGCCATATATAACTCTACTGCTTTAGCCTATTCTTGATTGGCTTACTTTCGACATTGCAAAAGGAAGCAATAAATTCCTCCGAAACGTCGGTGAACTCTGTCGGACTGCACGGCGTTACTTCCCCAGAATACGGTGGTTTTTATAATTGCAGTGAGAACTTCATGGCCAAGATTTTACAATTTTGTTTGTCTGAGCGCCGGAACGGATCGGGTGCTATGGGCAGCGCTGGGCCCAGTTGTAACGTGCCACCGTCAAGTCTGACCTGCCACAAACATCGTCACAGCGTTTTATTGTGATGACAGCAGGCAACACTGCATAAGATTGTAGGATGTAATGTCGCTGCCCAACCTTGCCACCAGCTAACTTGCAGCTTGAGCTCAAACAACTGAGGAGTCCCTGCCTCTTGCCCTTAATTCAGAGCTACGTGGGTCCTTCTCCAGGACATGACAATTTCCCAAAGACAGGAAGACAGAAATTATGCCCAGCTACTGCGCATGCTTACAGGCAGGGCTTCAACAAAACATCTTCTGTTCAAGACAACAGGAACAAATATTACTGACAACTCGGAATTCAGCAAACTTTAAGGATGTAACTATTTTCAAATTTAGCATTCTAACAAGGATGTGAGCACCCACGTGGCAGGAGTACGGCGCAATGTGCCGAACTGTACAACACAAAATGCACTCACTGCAAACCCTGGCCAATGCAGCCAACAACGAACGTGCGTACCTGGTGAAGGCCGAAATTCCGAAATATGCAGTGGATGTTTAACGTGGCTGTGCTGTCGAGCAGCTGAATAAATTCCGAAATAAACGCCACAGAAGAAAGACCCATATCTGGGCGCAGGCCTGGCAAAAGCATCCTTGCTGAGCACAACAGCCCTCGTTTGTTTCTGCCGTGGCAGACCACTGAGGCCTGGATGTCGGGTTACGGGGACTGGCTGTATCGATTGAGCCCAACTGAGTAGGATCCACCTGAAGACGGAGACAGAACTCAGTCTCCGAAACGTTGTGTTTTAAAGAGAAAGAGTACGGTGTTTCAGATAAAAACAGAACTCAATATTTGCCCTGGTTATTACCTGCGCAAGCGGCCCCTACACCCAGGACTTCGGCCAACAGCCCTGAGTTAGGTGTGTCAGTAGGGGTGGAAAGGTTTGAGGGATGAGAGGGTTAGGACCAGACAGATAGCAGATCTTCTCGGTAGTAACACCTTGTAGTTCGGGCAGAATCCCAAGTTTCGGGAGAACTTATTCTCTTGTCTTGCTTGGCTTACTTTTCGACCGATGTTCTTGTTCCCTTCTACAGCTGTTACAGCAGAGAAGGCCGGGCCCTTGTTGGCCAGCGCTGCGAGAACCTCAAATCCAACAAGTGGTCCTTGGTTCGGAACGTTTCATTTTGCTTTCTCAGTACTTCACTGAAGGGCCGAGGATCCAGGCGCTATATTGTTGCGGTTTAACGAAGAGGTGCAGGGTACACAGGTACTGGAACCGCTTGGCCTGGGCCTGCATTTGTCCGGCGGCAGGCCCCGCGCTTGGCGGAAGCGCTCGCTGTCCGAGAGCCGCGGCTGCTGTTCCCCATTCCAGTCGATCCTCTCAGCCTTCGTGAGACCGCGGCTCGGTAAATTAATTTTTGACAAGACAAGGGCCCTTTATAATTGATGCCAGGGCCCAGTACCGGGCCTCTGCCGGCTGGTGAGGGACAGTGCCCGCGTTCTGCTTGCACACTCTCTTTACGTGCATGGCACAGCATTCTCACAGCAAGCACTGCTTATTTAAATGGTCACTGTAATTGTAGTGTTTCTGAAAAGCCTCCGTCATCCCGTTTTCATTTAAGCACGCAACGTTTCGGTGACTGAATTCCGTCTCCGTCTTCAGGTGGAATCGATATCCGGAGATAGCGACTAGCTGTATCGACTGTGCCCAACTGAGTAAGGGAGACAGAATCGAATCTCCGAAACATTGAGTGTTTGAAATAAAAACAGGAAACAATAATTACAATGATTATTCCTAAGCGTCATTAAGTGACTGAGTTTTGTAACGGAGAGAGACTTTGTTTTCTGTGCGGTATGAACTGAATCCTTAAACACATGGTTCAAATAGTTATCATTAACTGCGTTCTTTGTTTATTTTAATAGCGCCATAAGCCAGAGAAACGGCGGTAAATATTTTCAAAAGGTAAGAAATCTAGTTACAATATTTCTGATGCAACGTCACTTTCGAACTATTAAAATGTGCAACTCTGCATTCAGTTGTAAAGTTCTCAGTTCAGCCCTTTAAAGCCCAGTGGTTACTACACCTACCAAGAGCTTTAATATACCAGAACCCTGCATTCCGCCCACGCAGTATATCTGTGTGTTCCGTGTGGTTCTCACAATAAACAGCATTAACCGGTTGGGCTTTGTAGTGGTGACGTAATGTGTTTCCTGTGAGGTACGGGCTCGATTTGTATAAATGATATAAGCTACGTCCGTACCGGTGGCCGTGTTCTCAGCAATGTCCAGAGCCTGACGTTCATTTCTCTACTCCCATTTTCTTGGCTAAGTGATTTCAATTTCGCAATTAGAATGTTGCGTGCATCTGCCACTTCGCTGTGCCCGAAGCATAATGCTACACTGGACAGTTCTATGGAAGCGGTCCCTTATTACGGACGCCTTAGCGCAGCGTTTTCTGCAGGCCGTACTGCCATCCCTATATAGGGAATTAGACGTACAGAAGCTATTAAATTACGCTATTGCTCAAGTGTCTTTGGGATGTGACGCCGTGTAGATTTGAGCAAGTTCCTGCGAAACGTTGGTAGCTGTCGGTCGGTCTGCAGTCCTGCTTAGCCGTGGGACACGCGTATTGTTTCGGTGCCCTCACCGGGTCTGCCTGTCCAGCTCTTTTCCTTTCCAAACGGGCACTGCGCAGTGGCTTTCAAACCCCGTGAAGTTTGTGATTGTCGAGTTCCTCCTACTCTACACAGATACGACGTTTCGGAATCTAGATCTGTTTCTTTCTCGGGGACCAGTGACTGAGATGAGCTCTTTAACAGAGCCAGCTGAGGAGGTATATCCCTACACTTTCACCTGAAAAAGGCAACATATAACTTTGCGAAACGTTGTGTTCTCTAGTACTGGACTGTGGGAAAGCGCAAGTGTAACCAACACTCTGAGACACAGTTCTCTTGCACGTCATGTGTCTCCTGTTAGTTGGCCACCGTGACAGTAGCCCGCTGGAGTCGGACCGGAAGCGATGTGAGAACCTCGCTGCAACGGCGCGCCAGTCCTGTTTCAGAAGCACAGTGTCCGCAACTGCTCACAGGATTGCGCCCACACGATTTCTGTTCCTGCAAGGGGTTTGCAGGAAATTCGCTTAGAAACCTACGTTACGATTATGTTTAGTAATCGTTTTAGAGTGTTCGGGACACAAGCATATTTTTATAAAAGTAATCTCATTCTTGATACAGCCATATTTCCTTCTTTTTAGATTCATTAAACGCGAACTCCTAGCTTGGCCCCTCCCCTGCCGCCGTCCATAGCTTCTACCGAAACATGCATCAGCTAAGTCGCCACTCTAAACTTAGTCTTCCCTTTGAGCAATTCAGTGCCGAGCTGTAGATCTATTCGCAAATCTAATTTTGACTCAGGGAACGATACAAGAGCGTGTAAGCGTGGCAAATGTGATTTTCAGTTTCTCACTGACTCCTATGGTCAGTTTTCTAGCAAACCCTGACGTTACATAACACAGGCCTAATTCCTAACGCATCCTGCTTTTCAAGGGCGGATAAACCCGAGGTACAGAGAACTTAATACGAGAGACGATACCTTGGAAGGGGTATCCAGTGAAGCATGGCCGCATCATGCCAAGGCTGGTCACTGTCATGCTGCCTCACGTCTGGCGCAGTCACTGCCTCACTTCGCAGCCACACATCGTGCACACACACCAACTGTCTGACGGCGCTCCGCGACTGACGGACTCACGGCCGGCGCACTGTTCACTTTCTAAACGGGAACCGCCGTGGGCACCGCCCCCAGCCTGCGTCGATTGGCGGCCGCACTCACCAATGGCGATAAGGGGCGGGGCCACAGATGTGAGAGCTGCACTGCGCTGGTACTGTGCGTGCGTGTACGTTTCGGAGACGTATTCCACACGTGGTTGCAGCGCTCTCTGCGCCATGAAAACGATGGGTGTGGCATGTAGCATACAGGGCACAGATACATTTGGCGAGGGGCCAACATGTACATTGGAGGGTAATATAAAGATGGTAATCGGCTTTTGTTGTGACGGTGATGAACGTCCCAGCTTACGGGTTCTGCACCCGAACAGATTGAAGTTATACGGCCCGCCAGACGTTGCAGCTGCTTCCGGCCACAACTGCTGTCCTGTGCTCACGAGCAGCGGTTTGAGAACCTCACCTCTGCATTACGAAAATGACAGAGAATTGAGTATCCCTGTAACAGGCCGTGAAGGCCCATAGGTTTGTGAGGCGTCAAGGCTCCCACATTTTCTCTAGACAGCCGGCTCACAGATGGCGGTGAGGTTGTCAGTCTTACGCCCCGCTCGCCCTTTACCCCCCAGGAAGATTCCTGGTACTCTTTTCTGTTAGGGGCTGAGTCGACCCCAGGGCCATAGTGCGGCTGGAAGAACTGGGTCAATTGATAATCCAATCACCTCATTGGGAATAGAACCCACAACCTTCCGGCTTGTAGCGTAGTGCCTCAACCAACTACGCTACTCAGGAGGAACTGGGATGGGAAGGAACACATCAGTTTCTGGTCTGTACTGACGGCAGGATTTGAGGTCCTCACATAAATAATAAGTTGATGATGGAGGTCTATCAGGTCTACCAGACTACATGGCGTCACATTCCAGAAGTCCGCAGACCTTCTCTGTTGAAAAATATGAGTTTACTGCAAGAGACCGTGAAGAGTAGAGCCATAAATGGGAACACAATGGGCCCATTTCTCGGGCTGTTTGGAAGCGCAGACTGTTTTGTGGACCATGGCTTGTATTTTCATGTTTGCTCTTCAGAACGGTCCTAATAGGAGCCTACAGTTCGGTAGTGTGGACAGCTGGGCAGAGGAAAATTGCAACATCGCGGGCTGTGAGGGGGCGCAGATGTCAAATGCCTCAGCGGAACCGAGCAGAGCTCACGGCTCACTCCATGAAGACGTATGGGGGAGTGGAGGTGACATTTTCCTTCACCTCGGCACCAGAAGGAGGTCAGTGGTCAGCTTTAGCCCCGGAAAAAGCTGGAAACTGGGTGGACCCCACAGCCGGTCTTTTAGGATATAACGCGTATATTCAGTTGAAAGTGAACCGACGTTTCGGAGAAACATGTCGCCTGTGTCTTCAAGAGTCGAAGGATATGCGAAACAAGAAACCAGCGTGAAGCGAGTAGCAAGTAGCTCTTGTTTCTTGTTTCGCTTATTCTTCGACCCTGATGATGGAGGCGACATATTGATGTGAAAGTTCGTTGACTATAAACGAACTACACGACGTTATTTCACAGAGCGTAGAACTCCTCATAACCACAACTGTGAGAAACTTAATTCCTACACAGAGAAATCAGTTGTCTCTGCCGGGAATCGAACCCAAATTTATATTCCGACTCTGTAATATATTAAAATTATTTGCCCCCCACCACTTTACGGCTCAGAAAGAAGGTGCAGGCATTGTTGCAGGTCCCTACTAGGCTGTACGGTGACAGCAGGAACGTAAATAGCTTTACAGCCTCTCTGCTCCTGCAGTAAGCTATAAAATGTTCCTGTAGGCCTACATTCACGGAAAGTGCAGTTATGTACATGGTTGCAGGTCCCTATCAGACTGTACGGTGACAGCAGGAACCTAAATAGCTTTACAGCCTCTCTGCTCCTGCAGTAAGCTATAAAATGTTCCTGTACATTCACGGAAAGTGCAGTTATGTACACGGTTGCAGGTCCCTATCAGACTGTACGACTATACAGTATTCCTGCACAGCAGGGAAGAATTCGCGAAATTATTTGGGCGCTGCAGACACGTTATCCGAAAGCACGTTACTAAGTCTCAGTACCTTTCTGACTTTTCAGAACTATGCCTGGATAAAACTGTTTCAAATAATTCTTGAATATTCGGCGACCCCACGTGCAGACGCGACCCACGGTTTGAGAACATATGGCTTAAATCCTGACTTTGGCTTTCGGCAAAAAGCCGCGGAGAATGTTAGAAGATTTTCTTCTGTTTCTTCAGCCATTGCAGCTGCTATCTTCACTTTTATTATTTGGGGGTCGGAAGCCCCTGGCAGTTAGGTGAAGATGTCATTGGGTTGCTTGGAAATGTCTGTCACCTCCTCCCCAAAAATACTTTGTCATTTTTCTACTTGACGCCAGGAACAATTGCAAACGATAGACCCCTCCCCTGTTCAGAGAGGATGTTAAGGAGTTTAACCGAAAGTGTTCAGTTGGAAAAATACTGGTCGTGGGTCTCAAGGGGCTTGGCGCAAAGACGAACTGATTGGCTGTAAACCGAGAATCGTAAAGTGACTCTGACTCTGACTCTGACTCTGAATAGCAGTTGAGTCAGTTGCAAGCTGCAGTTATGAGCAGTGAGAAGATGTATCTGAGGCCGGAGAGAGTTTCGGAACCCAGAGGAAGGGGAACGTTCGCCATTGGAAGCCGCTGCCAAGCAATGACTAATGAAGACTGAGAATACTTTATATGTGCTGTAATTACAGTGATCTGTGGAGTGTATAACTCAGTGAGACTGTTGTAGTTATTTGTAGTTAAATTTTGTTAGTGTCCAAAAGATCCGACTACATCTTGAACCCCGTCATATTCACTCAATTACGTGGCACTGCATAAGGTGCGGTTCATGCAGAGAGGTAAAAGCAGACCACAGTCTGCTTTTACCGGTTCTCACGGTCTCTTCGCTTGCAGAATTCTTATATTTTTTCTTCTACCCTGAAGATGGAGGCGATACGTTCCTCCGAAACGTCGGTTAACACCACATATACACGGTGCCAAATCCCAGAAGACTGCTTTCTTCAATATTAACGTTGTTGAGCGAGAATCCAATGTAAACCGTGTGCTCTACTGGAAGATGTTTCGGAGGAACGTGCTGTCTCCGTTTTCAGCTTCGAAGAATAAGCAAGTAACTAGCAGCAAGCAGATGGAGTCAGTACGTCCCTCCGAAACGTCGGGTGGACTTACACCCCAATAGGCTACACGGCGTCAAATACCAGAACATAATAGTGTGCACGTAACTAGTTCAGGCACAAGCCAGAGCGGCGGACAGCGACTCTTCCAGAAACGTTAGGCAGATCCCACGAGAGCAGTGGCGGTTGTGAGGCCTGCGTACACTAGACAGACTTGAGCTGGATATTGATAGGAGAAAGGAAATGTTAACCAACATAAAATGATTAGTGACCGCTGAGGTAACTTCGTATATGTCACGTTGTGCTTCAGTTCCATGCGATGATTTTGTTTTCAGTGTAAATATCTGTCACAGAAGTTCGGAATGTTTTCAAGTTGCATGCAGGCCACTGAGGCACTGGCCTGCGGACTGGTTAATAACAAGGCAGAACATTTTGGGACTTAGAGCTCTGCCGTAACCGGATTTTAAGAATTTCAATAACGGCGCAGGCGATGGAACACTACATTTTTGTCACAGAGGCGGCAATTCTGTGTTCTCTATGTCCCCGTGATCAGCTTCCAGTCTCTTACCAAACATTTCCAACATGGCTGCGCTTCTCTGTTAAAAGCTTTCTAAAATTCATCCATTGTTTGAAGAAGTAAATGAAACCTTTGCTTTTGGTTTCCATAATTTCGAAACTTTTGGGGGGGGGGGAAGGGATTGCGATTCTATTCATGAACATTTTTTCAAATTAGAATTGAAGCCAGGAACTGTAACGATATGCTGACGCCCTCCAGCGAGCACAAAGCAACTGAAATGTCATAATATCTGTCCTTTGGCTAACTTGATAGCTTGGGACAGCACATCCAGGCTGGGCGAACGCGGTGCCGTTGCTGTGCTCAGACCACGCAATCAGCAAGTGCGCGTGCGCCAGTTTCGTGATGTATGCAGGCTACAACATACAGCGGCCTGTGATTAGAGCGAGACACCAGATCGCGTATTGATACAAGGAATTCGTAGGCTATAACCTTTCTTCCTCTGAAATCATAGAAGGAAGAAATCGGTTGGGATAACTGGGTATAGTCCTACGTCAGAGGATAATATTAAAATGGGCCTAGTAGGAGTAGCGGTATAGCTGTAGACTCGTGTTTGATATGTGCAATATTCGAATCTCGGGTAGGATGTTGGCTGTCCTGACTAGTGTTTTGTGGTTTTACTCAGTCACTACATGTAATTCCGCCATCATACTTCCAACAGGCCATAGTCGCTTCTTTCCTACTGCTTTCCAACTGTCGCTCTCCTCTAGGACACCGTGTAGCTGGCAGCACCGTGAAGTCACGGGCGCTAGGGCCCTGTGGCAGGCTCTCGTCGGCACAGGATTGAGCCTTCGGGCTTTATTATCCAGCTGAGCGACCAGCAGCTTCGCTGGGTCAGCCTACATTTATATGCTTCTCGTTCCGCGGTCCTCACGCCTCTACCTGTTCACGCAGTGCAAGCAGCCAGACCGGGACTGACCCCGCGTGTCCCGCCGCCTTTCCTTGCTTCACACACACGGCCCAGAGTCCCAGGCGGATGCAATCAAGGCGACGGCATAATGTAACGTAATCATTAAATATCTTCTATCCTGACGATGGAGGCAAGAAGTTTCTCCGAAACGTGGTACCTATATGCCAAATTGCTCTGCGTCACTTCCCTGAAGACAGTAACCAGTCATAATTATTACCAATATTCCCCGTGTCTCTCGGTTAGTCGCATCAGACACGGCGCCTTTTCTGTAGGTGACAGGCTCCCTCACCTACCGTCAGCTTCTCCTCTGACACATGAAACTATTCCTTCT